CTCCAGTGTTAAAGTGTCTACCCATAGACTTCAATGTTAAAGTGTCTACCCATAGACTTCAATGTTAAAGTGTCTCCCCATAGACTTCAATGTTAAAGTGTCTACCCATAGACTTCAATGTTAAAGTGTCTACCCATAGACTTCAATGTTAAAGTGTCTACCCATAGACTTCAATGTTAAAGTGTCTCCCCATAGACTTCAATGTTAAAGTGTCTCCCCATAGACTTCAATGTTAAAGTGTCTACCCATAGACTTCAATGTTAAAGTGTCTGCCCATAGACTTCAATGTTAAAGTGTCTACCCATAGACTCCAGTGTTAAAGTGTCTACCCATAGACTTCAATGTTAAAGTGTCTACCCATAGACTTCAATGTTAAAGTGTCTACCCATAGACTTCAATGTTAAAGTGTCTACCCATAGACTTCAGTGTTAAAGTGTATACCCATAGACTTCAATGTTAAAGTGTCTACCCATAGACTTCAATGTTAAAGTGTCTACCCATAGACTTCAATGTTAAAGTGTCTGCCCATAGACTTCAATGTTAAAGTGTCTACCCATAGACTTCAATGTTAAAGTGTCTACCCATAGACTCCAGTGTTAAAGTGTCTACCCATAGACTTCAATGTTAAAGTGTCTACCCATAGACTTCAATGTTAAAGTGTCTACCCATAGACTTCAATGTTAAAGTGTCTACCCATAGACTTCAATGTTAAAGTGTCTACCCATAGACTTCAATGTTAAAGTGTCTACCCATAGACTTCAATGTTAAAGTGTCTACCCATAGACTTCAATGTTAAAGTGTCTACCCATAGACTTCAATGTTAAAGTGTCTACCCATAGACTTCAATGTTAAAGTGTCTACCCATAGACTTCAATGTTAAAGTGTCTACCCATAGACTTCAATGTTAAAGTGTCTCCCCATAGACTTCAATGTTAAAGTGTCTCCCCATAGACTTCAATGTTAAAGTGTCTACCCATAGACTTCAATGTTAAAGTGTCTGCCCATAGACTTCAATGTTAAAGTGTCTACCCATAGACTCCAGTGTTAAAGTGTCTACCCATAGACTTCAATGTTAAAGTGTCTACCCATAGACTCCAATGTTAAAGTGTCTACCCATAGACTTCAATGTTAAAGTGTCTACCCATAGACTTCAATGTTAAAGTGTCTACCCATAGACTTCAATGTTAAAGTGTCTACCCATAGACTTCAATGTTAAAGTGTCTCCCCATAGACTTCAATGTTAAAGTGTCTCCCCATAGACTTCAATGTTAAAGTGTCTACCCATAGACTTCAATGTTAAAGTGTCTACCCATAGACTTCAATGTTAAAGTGTCTACCCATAGACTCCAGTGTTAAAGTGTCTACCCATAGACTTCAATGTTAAAGTGTCTACCCATAGACTTCAATGTTAAAGTGTCTACCCATAGACTTCAATGTTAAAGTGTCTACCCATAGACTTCAATGTTAAAGTGTCTCCCCATAGACTTCAATGTTAAAGTGTCTCCCCATAGACTTCAATGTTAAAGTGTCTACCCATAGACTTCAATGTTAAAGTGTCTGCCCATAGACTTCAATGTTAAAGTGTCTACCCATAGACTTCAATGTTAAAGTGTCTACCCATAGACTTCAATGTTAAAGTGTCTACCCATAGACTTCAATGTTAAAGTGTCTACCCATAGACTTCAATGTTAAAGTGTCTACCCATAGACTTCAATGTTAAAGTGTCTACCCATAGACTTCAATGTTAAAGTGTCTACCCATAGACTTCAATGTTAAAGTGTCTGCCCATAGACTTCAATGTTAAAGTGTCTACCCATAGACTTCAATGTTAAAGTGTCTACCCATAGACTCCAGTGTTAAAGTGTCTACCCATAGACTTCAATGTTAAAGTGTCTACCCATAGACTTCAATGTTAAAGTGTCTACCCATAGACTTCAATGTTAAAGTGTCTACCCATAGACTTCAATGTTAAAGTGTCTACCCATAGACTTCAATGTTAAAGTGTCTACCCATAGACTTCAATGTTAAAGTGTCTACCCATAGACTTCAATGTTAAAGTGTCTACCCATAGACTTCAATGTTAAAGTGTCTACCCATAGACTTCAATGTTAAAGTGTCTACCCATAGACTTCAATGTTAAAGTGTCTCCCCATAGACTTCAATGTTAAAGTGTCTCCCCATAGACTTCAATGTTAAAGTGTCTACCCATAGACTTCAATGTTAAAGTGTCTGCCCATAGACTTCAATGTTAAAGTGTCTACCCATAGACTCCAGTGTTAAAGTGTCTACCCATAGACTTCAATGTTAAAGTGTCTACCCATAGACTTCAATGTTAAAGTGTCTACCCATAGACTTCAATGTTAAAGTGTCTACCCATAGACTTCAATGTTAAAGTGTCTACCCATAGACTTCAATGTTAAAGTGTCTACCCATAGACTTCAATGTTAAAGTGTCTACCCATAGACTTCAATGTTAAAGTGTCTACCCATAGACTTCAATGTTAAAGTGTCTACCCATAGACTTCAATGTTAAAGTGTCTACCCATAGACTTCAATGTTAAAGTGTCTACCCATAGACTTCAATGTTAAAGTGTCTACCCATAGACTTCAATGTTAAAGTGTCTACCCATAGACTTCAATGTTAAAGTGTCTACCCATAGACTTCAATGTTAAAGTGTCTACCCATAGACTTCAATGTTAAAGTGTCTACCCATAGACTTCAATGTTAAAGTTTCTCACCTCCAGGGTTACGACGGAGGATGAATTTGCGAACCTCATCGTAGATGAAGATCAGGAGGCTGTAGGGGAATGCGCAGAACCACCAACTCAGCCTGCAGAGAGACACGTGGGGAGAGAGAGACACGGGGAGAGAGAGAGAGACGGGGAGAGAGACACGGGGAGAGAGAGACAGACACGGGGAGAGAGAGACACGGGGAGAGAGAGAGACAGAGAGAGACACGGGGAGAGAGAGACACGGGGAGAGAGACAGAGAGAGAGACAGAGAGAGAGACACGGGAGAGAGACACGGGGAGAGAGACACGGTCATGAGTAATGGGTAAAGTTTTCTTCAGGAATATGATGCTGCTGCTGATGGAGCTACTACTCCGACCACTACCACCACCATCACCACTACCACCACCACTACCACCACCACCACCACTACTACCACCACCACCACCACTATCACTACTAGTACTACTAGTACTAGTGATACTACTAGTACTAGTAGTATCACTAGTGATACTACTAGTATCACTAGTGATACTACTAGTACTAGTAGTATTACTAGTGATACTACTAGTACTAGTAGTATCACTAGTACTACTACTTGTAGTACCGGTACTACTACTAGTAGTACCGGTACTACTACTAGTAGTACCGGTACTACTACTAGTAGTACCGGTACTACTACTAGTAGTACCGGTACTATTAGTAGAACTCACTTGAGGGGGTACATGCGAAGAGCCACGTCCATGCCCGGAGTGTAGGAGAGGAAAGCAGCAAGAGCAGTCTCACAGAAGAGTCCAAACACCAAGATCTTGTTCCTGTGACACACACACAGTGACACGTGACACACACACACACAGTGACACACACACAGTGACACACACACACAGTGTCACACACAGTGACACACACACACACAGTCTCACAGAAGAGTCCAAACACCAAGATCTTGTTCCTGTGACACACGCACAGTGACACGTGACACACACACAGTCACACAGTGACACACACACACAGTGACACGTGACACACACACAGTGACACACACAGTGACACGTGACACACACACAGTGACACACACAGTGTCACACACACACACAGTCTCACAGAAGAGTCCAAACACCAAGATCTTGTTCCTGTGACACACACACAGTGACACGTGACACACACACAGTGACACGTGACACACACACAGTCACACAGTGACACACACACACAGTGACACACACACAGTGACACACACAGTGTCACACACACACACAGTCTCACAGAAGAGTCCAAACACCAAGATCTTGTTCCTGTGACACACACACAGTGACACGTGACACACACACAGTGACACACACAGTGACACACACAGTGACACACACACACAGTGACACACACACACAGTGACACACACAGTGACACACACACACAGTGACACACACACACACAGTCTCACAGAAGAGTCCAAACACCAAGATCTTGTTCCTGTGACACACACACAGTGACACGTGACACACACACAGTGACACGTGACACACAGACACACACACACAGTGACACACACACAGTGACACACACACACACAGTCTCACAGAAGAGTCCAAACACCAAGATCTTGTTCCTGTGACACACACACAGTGACACGTGACACACACACAGTGACACGTGACACACACACACAGTGACACACACACACAGTGACACACACACACAGTGACACACACACAGTGACACGTGACACACACACACAGTGACACACACACACAGTGACACACACACACAGTGACACACACACACAGTGACACACACAGTGACAGACACACACACAGTCTCACAGAAGAGTCCAAACACCAAGATCTTGTTCCTGTGACACACACACAGTGACACGTGACACACACACAGTGACACACACAGTGACACACACACACAGTGACACACACACACACAGTCTCACAGAAGAGTCCAAACACCAAGATCTTGTTCCTGTGACACACACACAGTGACACGTGACACACACACAGTGACACGTGACACACAGACACACACACACAGTGACACACACACAGTGACACAGACACACACACAGTGACACACACACACAGTGTCACACACACACAGTCTCACAGAAGAGTCCAAACACCAAGATCTTGTTCCTGTGACACACACACAGTGACACGTGACACACACACAGTGACACACACACAGTGACACACACAGTGACACACACACACAGTGTCACACACACAGTGACACACACACACACAGTGACACACACACACAGTGTCACACACACACACAGTCTCACAGAAGAGTCCAAACACCAAGATCTTGTTCCTGTGACACACACAAAGTGACACGTGACACACACACAGTGACACGTGACACACAGACACACAGTGACACGTGACACACAGACACACACACACAGTGACACACACAGTGACACACACACAGTGACACACACACACACAGTCTCACAGAAGAGTCCAAACACCAAGATCTTGTTCCTGTGACACACACACAGTGACACGTGACACACACACAGTGACACGTGACACACAGACACACACACACAGTGACACACACACACAGTGACACACACACACAGTGACACACACACACAGTCTCACAGAAGAGTCCAAACACCAAGATCTTGTTCCTGTGACACACACACAGTGACACACACACACAGTGACACGTGACACACACACACACAGTGACACACACACAGTGACACACACACACAGTGACACACACACAGTGACACACACACACACACAGTGACACACACACAGTGACACACACACAGTGACACACACACAGTGACAGACACACACACAGTTTCACAGAAGAGTCCAAACACCAAGATCTTGTTCCTGTGACACACACACAGTGACACGTGACACACACACAGTGACACACACACAGTGACACGTGACACACACACACAGTGACACACACAGACACACACACACAGTGTCACACACACAGTGTCACACACAGTGTCACACACACAGTGACACACACACACAGTGTCACACACACAGTGTCACACACACACACAGTGACACACACACAGTGTCACACACACAGTGACACACACACAGTGTCACACAGACATAGCGTCACACACACAGTGTCACACACACACACAGTGTCACACACACACACACAGTGTCACAGACACACACAGTGACACAATCACACACACTGTGTCACACACAGTGTCACACACACAGTGACACACACACACACACAGTGACACACACACAGTGACACATACACAGTGTCACACACACAGTGACACACACACAGTGACACACACACACAGTGACACACACACAATCACACAGTGTCACACAACAACAACCGCCATTCGCCACTAAGTGGCGGTGACGTCACCACGACGCTTGTGCCAGGCTATGTGCACCCTGAGGCCACGTGAAGTGTCGAACGCCCGCTGGCAGGAGGTCACTGGGCAGACCCAGCAGGTGCCACGGGTCGACTGACTGAGATGACTGGCTGATGCACCACCTGTGCCCCCTACTGTGCCAATCTGCTGTGCTTTAGCCACCCGGCGCTCTGCTCGCTGTTGTGAGCGTCGCTCCTCCGCCCTCCGTTGTTGTTGGAGGGCGACTGCCTCCAACTGCCCAGTAGCATCCTTCACGAGCCTCCTCCACAGAGGCCGATCTTGACACCGCTGGTACCAGTCATCGGCAAGTCCACTCAGCGTCCTCCTGTACCACATCACTCCATCTCTTCTCTAGCCCGTGCCGCGCCCGTTTAGCCCCCTCGATCCGGCTACATGACCCAGCCATCGCAGCCTTGCCCGCCGGAGGAGCTCACCGATGGGACCTTGCCCAGATCTTTAAAGGATTTGTGAGCTCCTCACACAATCCAGCCTGGTTAAACCCAGGATGGATCGTAGGCAGGCCAGCCTAAATGTTTCTAACCGGCGAAGATGTTCCATTAGGGGGGTCCACGTTTCGCAAGCGTAGAGAAGGGAGGGAATGACCGTGGCCGAGAAGACCTGAAGCTTAGTGCGGAGCGACAGACCAGGTAGCTTCCACACAGCGTTACGCAACCGATGAAAAGATATAGCCGCTCGACTGATTTGGAGTGAGACCTCTGCTGTTAAACTGGAGCCAGTCATAAGCACACTGCCCAGGTATGGGAAACTCTCCACTCTCTCCACAACTGCCCCATCACCGATTGGGAGTTGTGATGGTGGAGTGTCCGATGGTACAAAATACCCAGGCAGGTGCTAAGTTTTGGTGGGGCTGATGGTAAGGCCCCACCTCTTAGTGGCACGCTCCAGTCTCAGCAGCAGCATCTCCAACTCCTCCTCTGACTGAGCAGCTATTACCAAATCATCAGCATACATAACGTGGTTGAGTGAGTCTGTGAGTCTCTGAGTGAGTGAGTGAGTCTCTGAGTGAGTGAGTCTCTGAGTGAGTCTCTGAGTGAGTGAGTCTCTGAGTGAGTGAGTCTTTGAGTGAGTGAGTCTCTGAGTGAATGAGTCTCTGAGTGAGTGAGTGAGTCTCTGAGTGAGTGAGTGAGTCTCTGAGTGAGTCAGTGAGTCTCTGAGTGAGTGAGTCAGTAAGTCTCTGAGTAAGTCTCTGAGTGAGTGTGTAAGTCTCTGAGTAAGTCTCTGAGTGAGTATCTGAGTGGATCTCTGAGTGACTCTCTGAGTGAGTGTGTAAGTCTCTGAGTAAGTCTCTGAGTGAGTCTCTGAGTGTGTAAGTCTCTGAGTGAGTCAGTGAGTCTCTGAGTGAGTGAGTGAGTGTGTAAGTCTCTGAGTGAGTGAGTCTCTGAGTGAGTCTCTGAGTGAGTGAGTCTCTGAGTGAGTGAGTGAGTCTCTGAGTAAGTCTCTGAGTGAGTCTCTGACTGAGTAAGTCTCTGAGTGAGTGAGTCTCTGAGTGAGTCTCTGAGTGAGTGAGTCTCTGAGTAAGTTTCTGAGTGAGTGAGGCTCTGAGTGAGTCTCTGAGTGAGTCTCTGAGTGAGTAAGTCTCTGAGTGAGTCTCTGAGTGAGTCAGTGAGTCTCTGAGTGAGTGAGTGTGTAAGTCTCTGAGTGAGTGAGTCTCTGAGTGAGTCTCTGAGTAAGTCTCTGAGTGAGTGAGTCTCTGAGTGAGTCTCTGAGTAAGTCTCTGAGTGAGTCTCTGAGTGAGTGAGTCTCTGAGTGAGTCTCTGAGTGAGTGAGTCTCTGAGTAAGTCTTTGAGTGAGTCTCTGAGTGAGTGAGTCTCTGAGTGAGTCTCTGAGTGAGTGAGTCTCTGAGTGAGTGAGTCTCTGAGTGAGTGAGTCTCTGAGTGAGTAAGTCTCTGAGTGAGTCTCTGAGTGAGTGAGTCTCTGACTGAGTGAGTCTCTGACTGAGTGAGTCTCTGACTGAGTAAGTCTCTGCGTGAGTGAGTGTGTGTGTAAGTCTCTGAGTGAGTCTCTGAGTGAGTCTCTGACTGAGTGAGTCTCTGAGTGAGTCAGTGAGTCTCTGAGTGAGTCAGTGAGTCTCTGAGTGAGTGAGTGAGTGTGTAAGTCTCTGAGTGAGTGAGTCTCTGACTGAGTAAGTCTCTGAGTGAGTGAGTCTCTGAGTGAGTCTCTGAGTGAGTATGTAAGTCTCTGAGTGAGTCTCTGAGTGAGTGAGTGTGTGTGTAAGTCTCTGAGTAAGTCTCTGAGTGAGTCTCTGAGTGAGTGAGTCTCTGAGTGAGTGAGTCTCTGAGTGAGTGAGTCTCTGAGTGAGTCTCTGAGTGAGTGAGTCTCTGAGTGAGTCTCTAAGTAAGTCTCTGAGTGAGTCTCTGAGTGAGTCTCTGAGTGAGTCTCTGACTAAGTCTCTGAGTGAGTCTCTGAGTGAGTCTCTGAGTGAGTGAGTCTGACTGAGTGAGTCTCTGACTGAGTGAGTCTCTGACTGAGTAAGTCTCTGCGTGAGTGAGTCAGTGAGTCTCTGAGTGAGTGAGTGAGTGTGTAAGTCTCTGAGTGAGTGAGTCTCTGACTGAGTAAGTCTCTGAGTGAGTGAGTCTCTGAGTGAGTCTCTGAGTGAGTATGTAAGTCTCTGAGTGAGTCTCTGAGTGAGTGAGTGTGTGTGTAAGTCTCTGAGTAAGTCTCTGAGTGAGTCTCTGAGTGAGTGAGTCTCTGAGTGAGTGAGTCTCTGAGTGAGTGAGTCTCTGAGTCTCTGAGTGAGTCTCTGAGTGAGTGAGTCTCTGAGTGAGTCTCTAAGTAAGTATCTGAGTGAGTCTCTGAGTGAGTCTCTGAGTGAGTCTCTGAGTGAGTCTCTGACTAAGTCTCTGAGTGAGTCTCTGAGTGAGTCTCTGAGTGAGTGAGTCTGACTGAGTGAGTCTCTGACTGAGTGAGTCTCTGACTGAGTAAGTCTCTGCGTGAGTGAGTGTGTGTGTAAGTCTCTGAGTGAGTGAGTGTGTAAGTCTCTGAGTGAGTCTCTGACTGAGTGAGTCTCTGACTGAGTAAGTCTCTGAGTGAGTGAGTCTCTGAGTGAGTCAGTGAGTCTCTGAGTGAGTGAGTGAGTGTGTAAGTCTCTGAGTGAGTGAGTCTCTGACTGAGTAAGTCTCTGAGTGAGTGAGTCTCTGAGTGAGTCTCTGAGTGAGTATGTAAGTCTCTGAGTGAGTGAGTGTGTAAGTCTCTGAGTAAGTCTCTGAGTGAGTCTCTGAGTGAGTGAGTCTCTGAGTGAGTCAGTCTCTGAGTGAGTGAGTCTCTGAGTCTCTGAGTGAGTCTCTGAGTGAGTCTCTGAGTGAGTGAGTCTCTGAGTGAGTCTCTAAGTAAGTCTCTGAGTGAGTCTCTGAGTGAGTCTCTGAGTGAGTGAGTCTCTGAGTGAGTCTCTGAGTGAGTGAGTCTCTGACTAAGTCTCTGAGTGAGTCTCTGAGTGAGTCTCTGAGTGAGTGAGTCTCTGAGTGAGTGAGTCTCTGACTAAGTCTCTGAGTGAGTGTCTGAGTGAGTCTCTGAGTGAGTGAGTCTCTGAGTGAGTCTCTGAGTAAGTCTCTGAGTGAGTGAGTCTCTGAGTGAGTCTCTGAGTGAATCTGTGAGTGAGTCTCTGAGTGAGTCTCTGAGTGAGTCTCTGAGTGAGTGAGTCTCTGAGTGAGTGAGTCACTGAGTGAGTCTCTGAGTGAGTCTCTGAGTTAGTGAGTCACTGAGTGAGTCTCTGAGTGAGTCTCTGAGTGAGTGAGTCTCTGAGTGAGTCTCTAAGTGAGTAAGTCTCTGAGTGAGTGAGTCTCTGAGTGAGTGAGTCTCTGAGTGAGTCTCTGAGTGAATCTGTGAGTGAGTCTCTGAGTGAGTCTCTGAGTGAGTCTCTGAGTGAGTCTCTGAGTGAGTGAGTCTCTGAGTGTGTGAGTCTCTGAGTGAGTGAGTCTCTGAGTGAGTGAGTCTCTGAGTGAGTCTCTGAGTGAATCTGTGAGTGAGTCTCTGAGTGAGTCTCTGAGTGAGTGAGTCTCTGAGTGAGTCAGTCTCTGAGTGAGTGAGTCTCTGAGTCTCTGAGTGAGTCTCTGAGTGAGTCTCTGAGTGAGTCTGAGTGAGTGAGTCTCTGAGTGAGTCTCTAAGTAAGTCTCTGAGTGAGTCTCTGAGTGAGTCTCTGAGTAAGTGAGTCTCTGAGTGAGTCTCTGAGTGAGTGAGTCTCTGACTAAGTCTCTGAGTGAGTCTCTGAGTGAGTCTCTGAGTGAGTGAGTCTCTGAGTGAGTCTCTGAGTGAGTGAGTCTCTGACTAAGTCTCTGAGTGAGTGTCTGAGTGAGTGAGTCTCTGAGTGAGTCTCTGAGTAAGTCTCTGAGTGAGTGAGTCTCTGAGTGAGTCTCTGAGTGAATCTGTGAGTGAGTCTCTGAGTGAGTCTCTGAGTGAGTCTCTGAGTGAGTGAGTCTCTGAGTGAGTGAGTCTCTGAGTGAGTGAGTCTCTGAGTCTCTGAGTGAGTCTCTGAGTGAGTGAGTCTCTGAGTGAGTCTCTAAGTAAGTATCTGAGTGAGTCTCTGAGTGAGTCTCTGAGTGAGTCTCTGAGTGAGTCTCTGACTAAGTCTCTGAGTGAGTCTCTGAGTGAGTCTCTGAGTGAGTGAGTCTGACTGAGTGAGTCTCTGACTGAGTGAGTCTCTGACTGAGTAAGTCTCTGCGTGAGTGAGTGTGTGTGTAAGTCTCTGAGTGAGTGAGTGTGTAAGTCTCTGAGTGAGTCTCTGACTGAGTGAGTCTCTGACTGAGTAAGTCTCTGAGTGAGTGAGTCTCTGAGTGAGTCAGTGAGTCTCTGAGTGAGTGAGTGAGTGTGTAAGTCTCTGAGTGAGTGAGTCTCTGACTGAGTAAGTCTCTGAGTGAGTGAGTCTCTGAGTGAGTCTCTGAGTGAGTATGTAAGTCTCTGAGTGAGTGAGTGTGTAAGTCTCTGAGTAAGTCTCTGAGTGAGTCTCTGAGTGAGTGAGTCTCTGAGTGAGTCAGTCTCTGAGTGAGTGAGTCTCTGAGTCTCTGAGTGAGTCTCTGAGTGAGTCTCTGAGTGAGTGAGTCTCTGAGTGAGTCTCTGAGTAAGTCTCTGAGTGAGTCTCTGAGTGAGTCTCTGAGTGAGTGAGTCTCTGAGTGAGTCTCTGAGTGAGTGAGTCTCTGACTAAGTCTCTGAGTGAGTCTCTGAGTGAGTCTCTGAGTGAGTGAGTCTCTGAGTGAGTGAGTCTCTGACTAAGTCTCTGAGTGAGTGTCTGAGTGAGTCTCTGAGTGAGTGAGTCTCTGAGTGAGTCTCTGAGTGAGTCTCTGAGTGAGTCTCTGAGTGAATCTGTGAGTGAGTCTCTGAGTGAGTCTCTGAGTGAGTCTCTGAGTGAGTGAGTCTCTGAGTGAGTGAGTCACTGAGTGAGTCTCTGAGTGAGTCTCTGAGTTAGTGAGTCACTGAGTGAGTCTCTGAGTGAGTCTCTGAGTGAGTGAGTCTCTGAGTGAGTCTCTAAGTGAGTCTCTGAGTGAGTGAGTCTCTGAGTGAGTGAGTCTCTGAGTGAGTCTCTGAGTGAATCTGTGAGTGAGTCTCTGAGTGAGTCTCTGAGTGAGTCTCTGAGTGAGTCTCTGAGTGAGTGAGTCTCTGAGTGTGTGAGTCTCTGAGTGAGTGAGTCTCTGAGTGAGTGAGTCTCTGAGTGAGTCTCTGAGTGAATCTGTGAGTGAGTCTCTGAGTGAGTCTCTGAGTGAGTGAGTCTCTGAGTGAGTCAGTCTCTGAGTGAGTGAGTCTCTGAGTCTCTGAGTGAGTCTCTGAGTGAGTCTCTGAGTGAGTCTGAGTGAGTGAGTCTCTGAGTGAGTCTCTAAGTAAGTCTCTGAGTGAGTCTCTGAGTGAGTCTCTGAGTAAGTGAGTCTCTGAGTGAGTCTCTGAGTGAGTCTCTGAGTGAGTGAGTCTCTGACTAAGTCTCTGAGTGAGTCTCTGAGTGAGTCTCTGAGTGAGTGAGTCTCTGAGTGAGTCTCTGAGTGAGTGAGTCTCTGACTAAGTCTCTGAGTGAGTGTCTGAGTGAGTGAGTCTCTGAGTGAGTCTCTGAGTAAGTCTCTGAGTGAGTGAGTCTCTGAGTGAGTCTCTGAGTGAATCTGTGAGTGAGTCTCTGAGTGAGTCTCTGAGTGAGTCTCTGAGTGAGTCTCTGAGTGAGTGAGTCTCTGAGTGAGTGAGTGAGTCACTGAGTGAGTCTCTGAGTGAGTCTCTGAGTTAGTGAGTCACTGAGTGAGTCTCTGAGTGAGTCTCTGAGTGAGTGAGTCTCTGAGTGAGTCTCTAAGTGAGTAAGTCTCTGAGTGAGTGAGTCTCTGAGTGAGTCTCTGAGTGAATCTGTGAGTGAGTCTCTGAGTGAGTCTCTGAGTGAGTCTCTGAGTGAGTGAGTCTCTGAGTGTGTGAGTCTCTGAGTGAGTGAGTCTCTGAGTGAGTGAGTCTCTGAGTGAGTCTCTGAGTGAATCTGTGAGTGAGTCTCTGAGTGAGTCTCTGAGTGAGTCTCTGAGTGAGTCTCTGAGTGAGTCTCTGAGTGAGTGAGTCTCTGAGTGTGTGAGTCTCTGAGTGAGTGAGTCTCTGAGTGAGTGAGTCTCTGAGTGAATCTCTGAGTGAGTTTCTGAGTGAGTCTCTGAGTGAGTGAGTTTCTGAGTGAGTCTCTGAGTGAATCTCTGAGTGAGTCTCTGAGTGAGTGAGTCTCTGAGTGAATCTCTGAGTGAGTCTCTGTGTGAGTGAGTCTCTGAGTGAGTCTCTGAGTGAGTGAGTCTCTGAGTGAGTCTCTGAGTGAGTGAGTCTCTGAGTGAGTGAGTCTCTGAGTGAATCTCTGAGTGAGTTTCTGAGTGAGTCTCTGAGTGAGTGAGTTTCTGAGTGAGTCTCTGAGTGAATCTCTGAGTGAGTCTCTGAGTGAGTGAGTCTCTGAGTGAATCTCTGAGTGAGTCTCTGAGTGAGTCTGAGTGAATCCCGCACTCACTTCATGCCCTGCTGGAAAACGGAGTTGCGTCTGGTTTTGCAGACGATGAGATCGGCCCACTGGACCACCACAATGCTCACGAAGAATGCGGTGTGGCACGTATACTCCACTAACTTGCGCTGTTCGTAGGTCTGGAGAGACACACAGTGAGACAGAGAGACACACACAGAGTTACACTCACCCATCCACCCTACTCACCCACCCACTCACCCACCCACCCACCTACTCACTCCCCCAGCTACTCACCCATTCACCCACTCACTCCCCCACCCACTCACTCACCCACCCCCCCACTCACCCCCCCCACCCACCCTCTCACCCCCCCACTCACCCACCCACCCAGCCACTCACTCACTCACCCACTCACTCCCCCACCCACTCACCCACCCACCCACCCCCCCACCCCCCCCCCACCCACTCACCCACCCACCCACCCACTCACCCACTCACTCACCCACCCACCCACTCACTCACCCACCCACCCACTCACCCACCCCCCCACCCACCCACTCCCCCACCCACACACCCACTCACTCACCCACCCACCCACTCACCCACTCACTACCCACCCACCCACTCACCCACCCACTCACCCACTCACCCACCCAGCCACTCACCCCCCCCCCACTCACCCCCCCACCCACTCACTCACTCACCCACTCACCCACCCCCCACCCACCCAGCCACCCACCCACTCACCCACCCACCCAGCCACTCACCCACTCCTGCCCGTACGAGTCTGTGAGATCGTTGACGTGTTTATTATCCCACTGTAGGCGAATGCCCAAGAGATCCACTCACTCACCCACCCACTCACCCACCCACTCACTCACTCACCCACCCACTCACTCACTCACTCACCCACCCACTCACTCACTCACCCACCCACTCACTCACTCACCCACTCACTCACTCACCCACCCACTCACCCACCCACTCACCCACTCACTCACTCACTCACCCACTCACTCACTCACCCACTCACTCACTCACCCACCCACTCACCCACCCACTCACTCACCCACCCACTCACCCACTCACCCACCCACCCACTCACTCACTCCCCCACTCACCCACCCACCCACCAACTCCCCCTCCCACTCACCCACCCCCCCACTCACCCCCCCACTCACCCACCCACCCACCCAGCCACTCACCCACTCCTGCCCGTACGAGTCTGTGAGATCGTTGACGTGTTTATTATCCCACTGTAGGCGAATGCCCAAGAGATCCACTCACTCACCCACCCACTCACCCACCCACCCACCCACTCTCCCACCCACTCACCCACTCACACACCCACTCACTCACTCCCCCACTCACCCACCCACCCACCAACTCCCCCTCCCACTCACCCACCCCCCCACTCACCCCCCCACTCACCCCCCCACTCACCCACCCACCCAGCCACTCACCCACTCCTGCCCGTACGAGTCTGTGAGATCGTTGACGTGTTTATTATCCCACTGTAGGCGAATGCCCAGGAGATCCGCTGGCAGGAATCCGTTCTCTGTGAGGATGACGAAGTAGGCGAAAAATCCTCCCAGTGCCTGAATCATCCCTGCAGAGAGTGGGGGGGGGTTAGTGGGGGGGTTAGTGGGGGGGGGTGAGTGAGTGGGTGGGTGAGTGGATGGGTTAGTGGGTGGGTGAGTGAGTGGGTGAGTGGGTTGGTGGGTGAGTGGGTGAGTGGGTGGGTGGGTGAGTGGGTGAGTGGGTGGGTGGGTGAGTGGGTGGGTGAGTGGGTGAGTGGGTGGGTGAGTGAGTGAGTGGGTGAGTGGGTGGGTGGGTGGGTGAGTGGGTGAGTGGGTGAGTGAGTGGGTGGGTGAGTGGGTGGGTGAGTGGGCGGGTGGGTGGGTGAGTGGGTGGGTGAGTGGGCGGGTGGGTGGGTGAGTGGGTGAGTGAGTGGGTGGGTGAGTGGGTGGGTGAGTGGGTGAGTGGGTGAGTGAGTGAGTGGGTGAGTGGGTGGGTGGGTGGGTGAGTGGGTGAGTGGGTGGGTGAGTGGGTGGGTGAGTGAGTGAGTGGGTGAGTGGGTGGGTGGGTGAGTGAGTGAGTGGGTGAGTGGGTGGGTGAGTGGGTGAGTGAGTGGGTGGGTGGTTGGATACTGGGTGGGTGAGTGGGTGAGTGAATGGGTGGGTGGTGGGTTGGTGAGTGAGTGAGTGGGTGAGTGAGCGTGTGGGTGAGTGAGCGACTGAGCGAGTGACTGACTGAGCGTGTGGGTGACTGAATGGTTGACTGAGTGAGCGAGCGAGTGAGTGAGCGAGCGAGTGAGCGACTGAGTGAGTGACTGAGCGAGCGACTGAGCGACTGAGTGAGCGAGTGGGTGAGTGGCTGACTGAGTGAGTGAGTGGGTGACTGAGTGGGTGGGTGACTGAGCGAGTGAGCGAGCGGGTGACTGAGCGAGTGAGCGAGTGAGTGAGCGAGTTGTTGACTGAGCGAGCGAGTGGGTGACTGAGCGAGTTGGCGACTGAGCGAGTGAGTGGGCGAGACTCCCACCGATCTGTCCGTACGCGATACTGATGAGTCTCTCGTTCACCAGCGAGTGACTGAGTGAGTGAGTGAGTGGGTGACTGAATGGTTGACTGACTGAGTGGGTGACTAAGTGAGTGGTTGACTGAGTGAGTGACTGAGTGAGTGAGTGAGACTCCCACCGATCTGTCCGTACGCGATGCAGATGAGTCTCTCGTTCACCAGCGAGTGAGTGGGTGACTGAGTGACTGAGTGAGTGACTGAGTGGTTGACTGAGTGAGTGAGTGAGTGACTAAGTGGGTGACTGACTGAGTGAGTGAGTGACTGAGTGAGTGGGTGAGTGACTGAGTGAGTGACTGAGTGAGTGAGTGACTGACTGAGTGAGTGACTCTCTGAATGAGTGACTGAGTGAGACTCCCACCGATCTGTCCGTACGCGATGCAGATGAGTCTCTCGTTCACCAGCGAGTGAGTGGGTGACTGAGTGACTGAGTGAGTGACTGAGTGGTTGACTGAGTGAGTGAGTGAGTGACTAAGTGGGTGACTGACTGAGTGAGTGAGTGACTGAGTGAGTGGGTGAGTGACTGAGTGAGTGACTGAGTGAGTGAGTGACTGACTGAGTGAGTGACTCTCTGAATGAGTGACTGAGTGAGACTCCCACCGATCTGTCCGTACGCGATGCTGATGAGTCTCTCGTTCACCAGTGAGTGAGTGGGTGACTGAGTGACTGAGTGAGTGAGTGACTGAGTGAGTGAGTGACTGAGTGGGTGACTGAGCGAGTGAGTGAGTGACTGAGTGAGACTCCCACCGATCTGTCCGTACGCGATGCTGATGAGTCTCTCGTTCACCAGCGAGTGACTGAGCGAGCGAGTGGGTGACTGACTGAGTGGTTGACTGAGTGGGTGACTGAGTGAGTGAGTGAGTGACTGAGTGAGTGGTTGACTGAGTGGGTGACTGAGTGAGTGAGTGAACGAGTGACTGAGTGAGTGAGTGACTGAGTGAGACTCCCACCGATCTGTCCGTACGCGATACTGATGAGTCTCTCGTTCACCAGCGAGTGACTGAGTGAGTGAGTGAGTGGGTGACTGAATGGTTGACTGACTGAGTGGGTGACTAAGTGAGTGGTTGACTGAGTGAGTGACTGAGTGAGTGAGTGAGACTCCCACCGATCTGTCCGTACGCGATGCTGATGAGTCTCTCGTTCACCAGCGAGTGAGCGAGTGACTGAGTGACTGAGTGAGTGACTGAGTGAGTGGTTGACTGAGTGGTTGACTGAATGGGTGGCTGACTGAGTGAGACTCCCACCGATCTGTCCGTACGCGATGCTGATGAGTCTCTCGTTCACCAGCGAGTGAGCGAGTGAGTGAGTGGGTGAGTGACTGAGTGACTGAGTGAGTGGGTGCTTGAGGGAGTGGGTGACTAAGTGAGTGGTTGACTGAGTGAGACTCCCACCGATCTGTCCGTACGCGATACTGATGAGTCTCTCGTTCACCAGCTTGTCCACCCGCGGGTTCCGTGGCTGCCTCTTCATGATGTCACTCTCAGCCGCCTCGTAGGCCAGCGAGATCGCCGGCACCTGAGCAGGTGGAGCAAACCAAGTGGGAGGGGAGGGGGGGGAGGTGGAGCAAACCAAGTGGGAGGGGGGGGAGGTGGAGCAAACCAAGTGGGAGAGAAGGGGGGTGAGTTAGCAGCCTTCTAGCTGAATGAGCGAGTTGGCGACTGGCTGGCTGAGTGAGTGACTGGCTGAGTGAGTGACTGGCTGAGCGAGCGACTGAGCAACTGTCTGAGCGACTGGCTGAGCGACTGACTGGCTGAGTGAGCGACTGGCTGAGCGACTGTCTGAGCGAGTGAGCGACTGGCTGAGTGAGTGACTGGCTGAGCGAGCGACTGAGCAACTGTCTGAGCGACTGGCTGAGCGACTGACTGGCTGAGTGAGCGACTGGCTGAGCGACTGTCTGAGCGAGTGAGCGACTGGCTGAGTGAACAAGCGACTGTCTGAGCGAGTGAGCGACTGTCTGAGCGACTGTCTGAGCGACTGTCTGAGCGACTGGCTGAGCGCCTGACCGACTGTCTGACCGACTGTCTGAGCGAGTGAGCGACTGTCTGACCGACTGACCGACTGTCTGAGCGACTGTCTGAGCGACTGAGCGACTGTCTGAGCGACTGGCTGAGCGAACAAGCGACTGACTGAGCGACTGTCTGAGCGACTGAGCGACAGTCTGAGCGCCTGACCGACTGTCTGACCGACTGTCTGAGCGACTGAGCGACTGAGCGACTGTCTGAGCGACTGTCTGAGCTAGCGACTGACTGAGCAACTGAGCGACTGTCTGACCGACTGTCTGAGCGACTGAGCGACTGAGCGACTGTCTGAGCGACTGTCTGAGCTAGCGACTGACTGAGCAACTGAGCGACTGGCTGACCGACTGTCTGAGCGACTGTCTGAGCGACTGAGCGACTGAGCGACTGTCTGATCGAGCGACTGAGCGACTGTCTGAGCGACTGTCTGAGCCACTGAGCGACTGTCTGACTGTCTGAGCTGATCGAGCGACTGTCTGAGCGACTGACTGAGCGAACTGAGCGACTGTCTGAGCTGATGGAGTGACTGAGCGAGGGCGTGCGAGGTGCTCACCATGTCTGTGCCGAGGTCGATGCACAGGATGGTGACTGTGCCCAGCGGCAGCGGGATGTTGGCGATGATGAAGAACAGGAAGGGCGTTATCTCGGGAATGTTACTCGTCAGCGTGTAGGCGATCGACTTCTTCAGGTTGTCGAAAATGAGGCGTCCTGGGTGGGTGGGTAGGGGAGGTGGGTGGGGTGGGTGGGTGGGTAGAGACCACAGAGAGGGTGGGTGAGTCACTCAGCTACTCACTCACCTAGTCACCCACTCACCTAGTCACTCAGCTACTCACCCACTTAGTCACCCACTCGCCTAGTCACCCACTCACCTAGTCAGCTAGTCACCCACTCACCTAGTCACCCACTCACCTAGTCAGCTAGTCACCCACTCACCTAGTCACCCACTCACCTAGTCACCCAGTCAGCTAGTCAGCTAGTCACCCACTCACCTAGTCACCCACTCACCTAGTCACCCAGTCAGCTAGTCACCCACTCACCTAGTCACCCAGTCAGCTAGTCACCCACTCACCTAGTCACCCACTCACCTAGTCACCCACTCACCTAGTCAGCTAGTCACCCACTCACCTAGTCACCCACTCACCTAGTCACCCAGTCAGCTAGTCACCCACTCACCTAGTCACCCAGTCAGCTAGTCACCCACTCACCTAGTCACCCAGTCAGCTAGTCACCCACTCACCTAGTCACCCACTCACCTAGTCACCCAGTCAGCTAGTCACCCACTCACCTAGTCACCCACTCACCTAGTCACCCACTCACCTAGTCACCCAGTCAGCTAGTCACCCACTCACCTAGTCACCCAGTCAGCTAGTCACCCACTCACCTAGTCACCCAGTCAGCTAGTCACCCACTCACCTAGTCACCCACTCACCTAGTCACCCACTCACCTAGTCAGCTAGTCACCCACTCACCTAGTCACCCACTCACCTAGTCACCCAGTCAGCTAGTCACCCACTCACCTAGTCACCCAGTCAGCTAGTCACTTAGTCACCCATTCACCTAGTCACTCACTTAGTCACCCACTCACCTAGTCACCCAGTCAGCTAGTCACCCACTCACCTAGTCACCCACTCAGATACTCACTCACTTAGTCACCCACTCACCTAGTCACTCACCTAGTCATTCACTTAGTTACCCACTCAGCTACTCACTCACCTAGTCACCCACTCACCTAGTCACCCAGTCAGCTAGTCACCCACTCACCTAGTCACTCACCTAGTCATTCACTTAGTCACCCACTCACCTAGTCACCCAGTCAGCTAGTCACCCACTCACCTAGTCACCCACTCAGATACTCACTCACTTAGTCACCCACTCACCTAGTCACTCACCTAGTCATTCACTTAGTTACCCACTCAGCTACTCACTCACCTAGTCACCCACTCACCTAGTCACCCAGTCAGCTAGTCACCCACTCACCTAGTCACTCACCTAGTCATTCACTTAGTCACCCACTCACCTAGTCACCCAGTCAGCTAGTCACCCACTCACCTAGTCACCCACTCAGATACTCACTCACTTAGTCACCCACTCACCTAGTCACTCACCTAGTCATTCACTTAGTTACCCACTCAGCTACTCACTCACCTAGTCACCCACTCACCTAGTCACCCAGTCAGCTAGTCACCCACTCACCTAGTCACTCACCTAGTCATTCACTTAGTCACACACTCACCTAGTCACCCAGTCAGCTAGTCACCCAATCACCTAGTAACCCACTCAACTACTCACTCACCTAGTCACCCACTCATCTAGTCACCCAGTCAGCTACTCACTCACTTAGTCACCCACTCTCTTAGTCACCCACCAACCCACCCACCCACCAACCCACCCACCAACCCACCCACCAATCCCCCCCACCCATCCACTCACTCACTCACCAACTCACTCACCCACCCACTAACCCTCCCACTAACCCCCCAACCCACCCTCCCACCCACCCACTAACCCGCCCACCAACCCCCCCACTAACCCCCCACTAACCCCCCCACCAACCCACCCACCTTCCTCCACTCCCGTCACGATGGAGGCGAAGTTATCGTCAAGCAGGATCATGTCACTCACTCACCCACTCACCCACTCACTCACCCACCCACTCACCCACCCACTCACTCACTCACTCACCCACTCACTCACTCACCCACTCACCCACCCACTCACTCACTCACCCACTCACTCACTCACCCACCCACCCACCCACTCACCCACCCACCCACTCACTCACCCACCCACTCACCCTCCCACCCACCCACTAACCCACCCAGTAACCCCCCCACCCACCCACCCACCAACCCCCCCACTAACCCCCCCACTAACCCACCCACCTTCCTCCACTCCCGTCACGATGGAGGCGAAGTTATCATCAAGCAGGATCATGTCACTCACTCACTCACCCACCCACTCACTCACCCACTCACTCACTCACCCACCCACCCACTAACCCACCCACTCACTCACCCACTCACTCACTCACTCACCCACTCACTCACCCACTCACTCACTCACTCACCCACTCACCCACCCACTCACTCACCCACTCACTCACTCACTCACCCACCCACTCACTCACCCACTCACTCACTCACTCACCCACCCACTCACCCACTCACTCACTCACTCACCCACTCACTCACTCACCCACTCACTCACCCACTCACCCACTCACTCACCCCCCCACCCACCCTCCCACCCACCCACCAACCCCCCCACTAACCCCCCCACTAACCCACCCACCTTCCTCCACTCCCGTCACGATGGAGGCGAAGTTATCGTCAAGTAGGATCATGTCACTCACTCATTCACTCACCCACTCACTCACCCACTCACTCACTCACTCACCCACCCACTCACCAACTCACTCACTCACTCACCCACCCACCCACTCACTCATTCACCCACTCACTCACTCACCCACCCACTCACCCACTCACTCACTCACCCACTCACTCACCCCCCCACCCACCCACCCACCCCCCCACCAACCCCCCCACTAACCCCCCCACTAACCCACCCACCTTCCTCCACTCCCGTCACGATGGAGGCGAAGTTATCATCAAGCAGGATCATGTCACTCACTCACTCACTCACCCACCCACCCACTCACCCACACACCCACCCACTCACTCACCCACCCACCCACCAACTCACTCACTCACCCACCCACTCACTCACTCTTCCACCCACTCACTCACTCACCCACTCACTCACTCACCCACTCACTCACTCACCCACTCACTCACCCACCCACTCACTCACTCACTCACCCACCCACTAACCCCCCCACTAACCCACCCACCTTCCTCCACTCCCGTCACGATGGAGGCGAAGTTATCATCAAGCAGGATCATGTCACTCACTCACTCACTCACCCACCCACTCACTCACCCACTCACTCACTCACCCACCCACCCACTAACCCACCCACTCACTCACCCACTCACTCACTCACCCACTCACTCACCCACTCACTCACTCACTCACTCACCCACTCACCCACCCACTCACTCACCCACTCACTCTTCCACCCACTCACTCACTCACCCACCCACTCACTCACCCACTCACTCACTCACTCACCCACCCACTCACCCACTCACTCACTCACTCACCCACTCACTCACTCACCCACCCACTCACCCACTCACCCACTCACTCACCCCCCCACCCACCCTCCCACCCACCCACCAACCCCCCCACTAACCCCCCCACTAACCCACCCACCTTCCTCCACTCCCGTCACGATGGAGGCGAAGTTATCGTCAAGTAGGATCATGTCACTCACTCATTCACTCACCCACTCACTCACCAACTCACTCACTCACTCACCCACCCACTCACCAACTCACTCACTCACTCACCCACCCACCCACTCACTCACTCACCCACTCACTCACTCACTCACTCACTCACCCACTCACTCACTCACCCACTCACTCACCCCCCCACCCACCCTCCCACCCCCCCACCAACCCCCCCACTAACCCCCCCACTAACCCACCCACCTTCCTCCACTCCCGTCACGATGGAGGCGAAGTTATCATCAAGCAGGATCATGTCACTCACTCACTCACCCACCCACTCACTCACTCACCCACTCACTCACTCACCCACCCACTCACTCACTCACCCACCCACCCACTAACCCACCCACTCACGCACCCACTCACTCACCCACTCACTCACTCACTCACCCACTCACTCACTCACCCACCCACCCACTCTTCCACCCACCCACTCACTCACCCACCCACCCACCCACTAACCCCCCCACTAACCCACCCACCCACTAACCCCCCCACTAACCCACCCACCTTCTTCCACTCCCGTCACGATGGAGGCGAAGTTATCATCAAGCAGGATCATGTCTGCCGCTTGCTTCGAGACATCCGAGCCGGCGATGCCCATGGCCACTCCGATGTCGGCCTTCTTCAGGGCTGGAGAGTCGTTGACACCATCGCCTGTCACGGCCACGATGGCGCCCTAGTGGGGGGAGAGGTGGTGGGGGGGGAGAGTGGTGGGGGGGGAGAGTGGTGGGGGGGAGAGGTGGGGGGAGAGAGAGGGGGGTGGGAGAGTGAGTGACTGAGTGAGTGGCTGAGTGGCTGAGTGAATGGCTGAGTGACTGAGTGAGTGGCTGAGTGAGTGAGTGAGTGGCTGAGTGAGTGAATGCCTGAGTGAGTGAATGCCTGAGTGAGTGAGTGGTTGAGTGAGTGAGTGAGTGACTGACTGAGTGAGTGAGTGACTGACTGACTGAGTGACTAACTGAGTGACTGAGTGAGTGAGTGACTGACTGACTGACTGAGTGAGTGAGTGAGTGACTGAGTGAGTGACTGACTGACTGAGTGAGTGACTGAGTGACTGAGTGACTGACTGAGTGACTGAGTGACTGAGTGAGTGACTGACTGAGTGACTGAGTGACTGAGTGACTGAGTGACTGACTGAGTGACTGACTGAGTGACTGAGTGAGTGAGTGACTGACTGACTGACTGAGTGACTAACTGACTGAGTGACTAACTGAGTGACTGAGTGAGTGAGTGACTGACTGACTGACTGAGTGAGTGAGTGAGTGACTGAGTGAGTGACTGACTGACTGAGTGAGTGACTGAGTGACTGAGTGACTGACTGAGTGACTGAGTGACTGAGTGACTGAGTGACTGACTGAGTGACTGACTGAGTGACTGAGTGAGTGAGTGACTGACTGACTGACTGAGTGACTAACTGAGTGAGTGACTGACTGAGTGAGTGAGTGACTGACTGAGTCAATGAATGACTGAGTGAGTGACTGAGTGACTAACTGAGTGACTAACTGAGTGTTCCTCACCTGTCTCTGACATCCCTCCACAATGATGAGTTTTTGCTGTGGTGATGTCCGAGCGAACACAATCTCTGTGTGGCTGGGTGAGTAGCTGAGTGGGTGAGTGAGTGAGTGACTGAGTGAGTGACTGAGTGAATGATTGAGTGACTGACTGAGTGAGTGAGTCACTGAGTGAGTGACTGAGTGAGTGACTGAGTGAGTGACTGAGTCACTGAGTGACTGAGTGACTGAGTGAGTGAGTGACTGAGTGACTGACTGAGTGAGTGAGTGACTGAGTGAGTGACTGACTGAGTCAATGAATGACTGAGTGAGTGACTGAGTGAGTGACTGAGTGACTGAGTGAGTGACTGAGTGACTGACTGAGTGAGTGACTGAGTGACTAACTGAGTGACTAACTGAGTGTTCCTCACCTGTCTCTGACATCCCTCCACAATGATGAGTTTCTGCTGTGGTGATGTCCGAGCGAACACAATCTCTGTGTGGCTGGGTGAGTAGCTGAGTGGGTGAGTGAGTGACTGAGTGACTGAGTGAGTGACTGACTGACTGACTGAGTGAGTGACTGAGTGACTGAGTGAGTGACTGAGTGACTGAGTGACTAACTGAGTGAGTGACTGAGTGACTGAGTGACTGAGTGACTGACTGAGTGAGTGAGTGGCTGAGTGAGTGACTGAGTGAGTGACTGAGTGAGTGACTTACTGAGTGACTGAGTGAGTGACTGAGTGACTGAGTGAGTGACTGAGTGAGTGACTGAGTGACTGAGTGACTGAGTGATTGTTCCTCACCTGTCTCTGACATCCCTCCACAATGATGAGTTTCTGCTGTGGTGATGTCCTAGCGAACACAATCTCGGTGTGGTTCTTCAGGATCTCGTCAATCTGGTCCTGCGACAACTCCTTGAGGTCCGTGCCGTGCACCACGCACGCCTTAGCGTCCCTGTCGAGACACGCCAGCAGTCACTCAGCTACTCACTCAGCTATACAGTCACTCAGTTACTCACTTAGCTACTCACTCAGTCACTCACCTACACAGTCACTCAGCTACTCACTCAGTCACTCACTCAGATACACAGTCACTCAGCTACACAGTCAGTCACTCAGCTACTCATCCAGTTACACACTCAGCTACTCACTCAGCTACACACTCAGCTACACACTCAGGTACTCACTCAGCTACTCACTCAGGTACTCACTCAGCTACTCACTCAGCTACTCACTCAGCTACTCACTCAGCTACACAGTCACTCAGCTACACCCTCAGATACACACTCACTCAGATACACAGTCACTCAGCTACTCACTCAGCTACTCACTCAGCTACTCATCCAGCTACACAGTCACTCAGTTACTCACTCAGCTACACACCCAGATACTCACTCAGCTACTCATCCAGCTACACACTCAGCTATACAGTCACTCAGCTACACACTCAGCTATACAGTCACTCAGCTACTCAATCAGCTACTCACTCATCTACTCATCCAGCTACACACTCAGATACTCACTCCTCTACTCATCCAGCTACACACTCAGATACACACTCAGCTATACAGTCAGTCACTCAGCTACACACTCAGATACACACTCAGCTACACACTCAGCTATACAGTCACTCAGCTACACAGTCACTCAGCTACTCAATCAGCTACTCACTCAGCTACTCACTCAGCTACTCACTCAGATATACACAGATACACACTCAGCTATACAGTCAGTCACTCAGCTACACACCCAGATACACACTCAGATACACAGTCACTCAGCTACTCACTCAGCTACTCACTCAGTCACTCAGCTACACAGTCACTCAGTTACTCACTCAGCTACTCACCCAGATACACACCCAGATACACACTCAGCTATACAGTCAGCTATACAGTCAGTCACTCAGCTACACAGTCACTCAGCTACACACTCAGATACACAGTCACTCAGCTACTCAATCAGCTACACACTCAGCTACTCACTCAGCTACTCACCCAGCTACACACTCAGCTACACAGTCAGCTATACAGTCAGTCACTCAGCTACTCACTCAGATACTCATCCAGCTACACACTCAGCTATACAGTCAGTCACTCAGCTACACACTCAGATACACAGTCACTCAGATACACAGTCACCCAGTTACTCACTCAGCTACACACTCAGATACACAGTTACTCAGCTACTCACTCAGATACACAGTCACTCAGCTACTCACTCAGATACACACTCAGATACACAGTTACTCAAATACTCACTCAGCTGCACACTCAGATACACAGTCACTCAGCTACACACTCAGATACACAGTCACTCAGCTGCACACTCAGATACACAGTTACTCAGCTACTCACTCAGATACACAGTCACTCAGCTACTCACTCAGATACACAGTCACTCAGCTACTCACTCAGCTACTCACTCAGATACACAGTCACTCAGCTACTCACTCAGATACACAGTCACTCAGCTACTCACTCAGCTACACACTCAGATACACAGTCACTCAGATACACAGTCACCCAGTTACTCACTCAGATACACAGTCAGATACACACTCAGATACACAGTTACTCAGCTACTCACTCAGCTACACACTCAGATACACACTCAGATACACAGTCACTCAGGTACTCACTCAGATACACACTCAGCTACACACTCAGATACACAGTCATACAGATACACAATCACCCAGTTACTCACTCAGATACACCGTCACTCAGCTACTCACTCAGCTACACACTTAGATACACAGTCACTCAGATACACAGTCACTCAGCTACTCACTCAGCTACACACTCAGATACACAGTCACTCAGATGCACAGTTACTCAGCTACACACTCAGATACACACTCAGATACACAGTCACTCAGCTACACACTCAGATACACAGTCACTCAGATACACAGTCAGTCACTCAGCTACACAGTGATGGTGATGGTAGTGGTGTTGGTGATGGTGATGATGGTGGTGGTGATGTTGATGGTGGTGATGTTGATGGTGATAGTGATGATGTTGATGGTGATCGTGATGATGTTGATGATGATAGTGTTGATGGTGATGATGATGGTGATGTTGATGATGCTAGTGATGATGATATTGATGGTGATGATAGTGATGATGGTGATAGTGATGGTGGTGATAGTGATGATAGTGATGATGATAGTGGTGATGATGGTAATGATGATGGTGATAGTGATGATGATGATGGAGGTGATGGAGGTTATGGAGGTGATGTTGATGATGGTGATGATGGTGATGATGATAGTGATGATGCTAGTGATGATGATGATGGTGGTGATGATGGTGATGATGTCTCACCTAGGGTTGACTTGGCTGATGGGGATGTTGATGGTGATGATGATGATAGTGATGGTGATGATAGTGATGGTGATGGTGATGATGGTGATGATGGTGATGATGGTGATGATGATAGTGATGGTGATGATGATAGTGATGGTGATGATGATGATGGTGATGATGGTGATGATGATAGTGATGGTGATGATGATGGTGATGATGGTGATGATGATAGTGATGGTGATGATGCTAGTGATAATGTTGATGATGTCTCACCTAGGGTTGACCTGGCTGATGGGGATGGTGATGATGATAGTGATGGTGATGATAGTGATGGTGATGATGATGGTGATGCTAGTGATTATGCTAGTGATGATGATGATAGTGAATATGATAGTGATGATGATGATGCTAGTGATGATGGTGATGATAGTGGATATTATAGTGATGATGATGATAGTGAATATGATAGTGATGATGATGATGCTAGTGATGATGATAGTGAATATGATAGTGATGGTGATGATGATGCTAGTGATGATGGTGATGATAGTGAATATGATAGTGATGATGATGATAGTGAATATGATAGTGATGATGATGATGCTAGTGATGATGATGATGATGATGATGATAGTGATGATGATGATGATGCTAGTGATGATGGTGATGATGATGTCTCACCTGGGGTTGACCTGGCTGATCGGGATGTTGAGTCTGGCTGCGATGTCTTCCACCGTCTCATTCCCCTCCGATATGATCCCAACGCCCTTGGCGATCGCTTTGGCCGTGATGGGATGATCACCGGTGACCATAATCACCTAACATCATCATCATCATCAACAACATCACCATCAACATCACCTAACAACATCACCTAACATCATCACCATCAACATCACCATCAACAACATCACCATCAACAACATCGTCATTAACAACATCACCATCAACAACATCACCATCAACATCACCTAACAACATCACCATCAACAACATCACCATCATCAACAACATCACCATTAACAACATCATCATCAACAACATCACCATCAACATCACCTAACAACATCACCATCAACAACATCACCATCATCAACAACATCACCATTAACAACATCGTCATCAACAACATCACCATCATCAACAACATCACCATCAACATCATCATCAACAACATCACCTAACATCATCACCATCAACATCACCATCAACAACATCACCATCAACAACATCACCATCATCAACAACATCACCATCAACATCACCATCAACAACATCACCATCACCAACAACATCACCATCAACAACATCACCATCAACATCACCATCAACAACATCACCATCAACAACATCACCATCAACAACATCACCATCAACAACATCACCATCAACAACATCACCTAACATCACCATCAACAACATCACCATCAACATCACCTAAGAACATACACAACATCACCATCATCAACATCACCATCAACAACATCACCTAACAACATCAACAACAACATCACCATCAACAACATCACCATCATCAACAACATCAACATCATCAACATCACCATCAACAGCATCACCATCAACAACATCATCATCATCAACAACAACATCACCATCAACATCATCATCAACAACAACAACATCACCTAACAACATACACAACATCACCATCAACAACATCACCATCATCAACATCACCATCATCAACATCAACAACAACATCGCCAACATCACCACCACCATCATCATCACCATCATCATCAACACCTTCACCAACATCGTCAACATCGTCAACATCACTATCAACACCACCATCAACATCATCATCAACCAATCACTCACACACCCAGTCACTCACCCAGTTACTCAGTCACTCAGTCAGTCACTCAGTCAGTCACTCAGTCACTCAGTCACTCAGTCAGTCACTCAGTCACTCAGTCACTCAGTTACTCACTCAGTCAGTCACCCAGTCAGTCACTCAGTCAGTCACTCAGTCAGTCACTCAGTCAGTCACTCAGTCAGTCACTCAGTCACTCAGTCAGTCACTCAGTGAGACACTCAGTCACTCAGTCACTCACTTAGTCACTCAGTCACTCAGTCAGTCACTCACTCAGTCAGTTACTCACTCACTCACTCAGTCACGCACTCAGTCTCCCAGTCACTCACTCACTCACTCAGTCTCCCAGTCACTCATTCACTCACTCACTCAGTCACCCAGTGAGTCACCCAGTCACCCAGCGAGTCACCCAGTGACCCAGTCACCCAGTGAGTCACCCAGCGAGTCACCCAGCGAGTCACCCAGCGAGTCACCCAGCGAGTCACCTTAATGCCAGCACTGCGACACTTTCCCACGGCGTCTGGCACGGCGGCTCTGGGCGGGTCGATCATGGACATGAGACCCACGAAGCAGAGTCACTCAGTCACTCAGTCACTCAGTCACTCAGTCAGTCACTCAGTCAGTCAGTCAGTCACTCAATCACTCAGTCACTCAGTCACTCAGTCAGTCACTCAGTCAGTCACTCAGTCACTCAGTCACTCAGTCACTCAGTCAGTCAGTCACTCAATCACTCAGTCAGTCACTCAGTCACTCAGTCAATCAGTCACTCAGTCACTCAGTCAGTTACTCAGTCACTCAGTCAGTCACTCAGTCAGTCACTCACTCAGTCAGTCAGTCAGTCACTCAATCACTCAGTCACTCAGTCACTCACTCAGTCACTCACTCAGTCACTCAATCACTCAGCCACTCAGTCACTCACTCAGTCTCCCAGTCACTCATTCAATCACTCATTCACTCAGTCACCCAGTGAGTCACCCAGTGACCCAGTCACCCAGTGAGTCACCCAGCGAGTCACCCAGCGAGTCACCCAGCGAGTCACCCAGCGAGTCACCCAGCGAGTCACCCAGCGAGTCACCCAGCGAGTCACCCAGCGAGTCACCCAGCGAGTCACCTTAATGCCAGCACTGCGACACTTTCCCACGGCGTCTGGCACGGCGGCTCTGGGCGGGTCGATCATGGACATGAGACCCACGAAGCAGAGGTCACTCAGTCACTCAGTCACTCAGTCACTCAGTCAGTCACTCAGTCACTCAGTCAGTCACTCAGTCAGTCAGTCAGTCACTCAATCACTCAGTCACTCAGTCACTCAGTCAGTCACTCAGTCAGTCACTCAATCACTCAGTCACTCAGTCACTCACTCAGTCACTCACTCACTCAGTCACTCAGTTAGTCACTCAGTCACTCAGTCACTCAGTCAGTCAGTCAGTCACTCAGTCACTCAGTCACTCAGTCACTCAGTCAGTCACTCAGTCAGTCACTCAGTCAGTCAATCACTCAGTGAGTCACTCAGTCACTCAGTCAGTCAGTCACTCAGTCAGTTACTCAGTCAGTCACTCAGTCAGTCACTCAGTGAGTCACTCAGTCACTCAGTCAGTCAGTCAGTCACTCACTCTGTCACTCAGTCAGTCACTCAGTCAGTCAGTCACTCAGTCAATTACTCAGTCAGTCACTCAGTCAGTCACTCAGTGAGTCACTCAGTCACTCAGTCACTCAATCACTCAATCACTCACTCACTCAGTCACCCAGTGAGTCACCCAGTCACCCAGCGAGTCACCCAGTCACCCAGTGAGTCACCCAGTCACCCAGCGAGTCACCCAGCGAGTCACCCAGCGAGTCACCCAGCGAGTCACCCAGCGAGTCACCCAGCGAGTCACCCAGCGAGTCACCCAGTGAGTCACCCAGCGAGTCACCCAGAGAGTCACCTTAATGCCAGCACTGCGACACTTTCCCACGGCGTCTGGCACGGCGGCTCTGGGCGGGTCGATCATGGACATGAGACCCACGAAGCAGAGTCACTCAGTCACTCAGTCAGTCACTTAGTCAGTCACTCACTCAGTCAGTCAGTCAGTCAGTCACTCAATCACTCAGTCACTCAGTCACTCAGTCACTCACTCAGTCACTCACTCACTCACTCAATCACTCAACCACTCAGCCACTCGCTCAGTCTCCCAGTCACTCATTCAATCACTCACTCACTCACTCAGTCACCCAGTGAGTCACCCAGTGACCCAGTCACCCAGTGAGTCACCCAGCGAGTCACCCAGCGAGTCACCTTAATGCCTGCACTGCGACACTTTCCCACGGCGTCTGGCACGGCGGCTCTGGGCGGGTCGATCATGGACATGAGACCCACGAAGCAGAGTCACTCAGTCACTCAGTCAGTCACTCAGTCACTCAGTCAGTCAGTCAGTCAGTCACTCACTCAGTCAGTCACTCAGTCAGTCACTCAGTCACTCACTCACTCACTCAATCACTCAGCCACTCAGTCACTCACTCAGTCTCCCAGTCACTCATTCAATCACTCACTCACTCACTCAGTCACCCAGTGAGTCACCCAGTCACCCAGCGAGTCACCCAGCGAGTCACCCAGCGAGTCACCCAGCGAGTCACCCAGCGAGTCACCTTAATGCCAGCACTGCGACACTTTCCCACGGCGTCTGGCACGGCGGCTCTGGGCGGGTCGATCATGGACATGAGACCCACGAAGCAGAGTCACTCAGTCACTCAGTCAGTCACTCAGTCACTCAGTCAGTCACTCAGTCAGTCACTCAGTCAGTCACTCAGTCAGTAACTCAGCCAGTGACTCAGTCACTCAGTCAGTCACTCAGTCAGTCACTCAGTCACTCAGTCAGTCACTCAGTCACTCAGTCAGTCACTCAGTCAGTCAGTCAGTCACTCAATCACTCAGTCACTCAGTCACTCACTCAGTCACTCACTCACTCACTCAACCACTCTATCACTCAGCCACTCGCTCAGTCTCCCAGTCACTCATTCAATCACTCACTCACTCAGTCACTCACTCAGTCACCCAGTGAGTCACCCAGTCACCCAGCGAGTCACCCAGCGAGTCACCCAGCGAGTCACCCAGCGAGTCACCCAGCGAGTCACCCAGCGAGTCACCTTAATGCCAGCACTGCGACACTTTCCCACGGCGTCTGGCACGGCGGCTCTGGGCGGGTCGATCATGGACATGAGACCCACGAAGCAGAGTCACTCAGTCACTCAGTCAGTCACTTAGTCAGTCACTCAGTCAGTCAGTCAGTCACTCACTCAGTCAGTCACTCAGTCAGTCACTCAGTCACTCACTCACTCACTCAATCACTCAGCCACTCAGTCACTCACTCAGTCTCCCAGTCACTCATTCAATCACTCAATCACTCACTCAGTCACCCAGTGAGTCACCCAGTGACCCAGTCACCCAGCGAGTCACCCAGCGAGTCACCCAGCGAGTCACCTTAATGCCAGCACTGCGACACTTTCCCACGGCGTCTGGCACGGCGGCTCTGGGCGGGTCGATCATGGACATGAGACCCACGAAGCAGAGGTCACTCGTGGGAAAGTTGACGTCATCGGCGTCAAACTCGAAGCCCTTGGGGAACTCCTCGGCCGGGAGGTAATGGTGGCAGAATCCTGGGGTGGGTGAGGGGTGAGGGGGGTGGTGAGGGAGGTGGTGAGTTGGTGAGGGAGTTGGTGAGGGAGGTGGTGAGGGAGGGGGTGAGGGAGGTGGTGAGGGAGTTGGTGAGTTGGTGAGGGAGGTGGTGAGTTGGTGAGTGAGTTGGTGAGTGAGTTGGTGAGGGAGGTGGTGAGGGAGGTGGTGAGGGAGGTGGTGAGGGAGGTGGTGAGGGAGATGTTCACGCCATCGCCTCTTCCCCCTCTCTCTCTGTGTCTCTCTCTCTGTCTCTCTCTCTGTGTCTCTGTGTCTCTGTGTCTGTCTCTGTCTCTGTCTCTCTCTGTGTCTCTCTGTCTCTGTGTCTCTGTGTGTGTCTCTGTCTCTCTCGCTGTGTCTCTCTGTGTCTGTGTGTCTCTCTCTCTGTCTCTGTGTTTCTGTGTCTGTCTCTCTCTCTGTGTCTGTGTCTCTCTGAGTGTCTCTCTCTTTGTGTCTCTGTGTCTCTCTGTGTCTCTGTGTCTCTCTCTGTCTCTGTCTCTCTCTGTCTCTGTCTCTCTCTCTGTCTCTCTGTCTGTCTCGCTCTCTCTCTCTGTCTCTCTGTCTCTCTGTGTCTCTGTGTCTCTGTGTCTCTCTGTGTTTTTCTCTATCTCTCTGTCTCTCTCTGTCTCTCTATCTCTCTCTGTGTCTCTATCTCTCTGTGTCTCTCTACGTCTCTCTGTGTCTCTCTATGTCTCTCTGTCTCTGTGCCTCACCCAGGAGTCTCTCTCCGAGACCTCCCAGCTCCATGTAGGCGTTCTGGAACGACTCCGTCTCTCTCTCTGTGTCTCTGTCTCTGTCTCTGTGTCTGTGTCTCTCTCTGTGTCTCTCTGAGTGTCTGTGTCTCTGTGTCTGTGTCTCTGTCTCTCACCCAGGACTCTCTCTCTCTGTCTCTCTCTGTCTCTCTGTGTCTCTATCTCTCTGTGTGTCTGTGTCTCTCTCTGTGTGTCTGTGTATCTCTCTCTGTGTCTCTCTGTGTCTCTCTGTGTCTCTGTGTCTCTATCTGTGTCTCTGTCTCTCTCTGTGTCTCTGTGTCTCTATCTCTCTCTGTGTCTCTCTGTGTCTTTGTGTGTCTCTGTGTCTCTCTATCTCTCTCTCTCTCTGTCTCTGTGTGTCTCTCTCTCTGTGTCTCTCTCTCTCTGTGTCTCTCTCTCTGTGTCTCACCCAGGACTCTCTCTCCAAGACCTCCCAGCTCCATGTAGGCGTTCTGGAACGACTCCGTCTCTCTCTCTGTGTCTCTCTGTGTCTCTATCTGTGTCTCTGTCTCTCTCTCTGTGTCTCTATCTCTCTGTGTGTCTCTCTGTGTCTCTCTCTATCTCTCTGTGTGCCTCTGTCTCTGTGTCTCTCTCTGTCTCTGTGTCTCTGTCTCTCTGTCTCTGTGTCTCTGTCTCTCTCTCTGTGTCTCTGCTCTCTCTCTGTGTCTCTCTCTCTCTGTGTCTCTCTGTCGCTCTGTCTCTCTCTCTCTGTGTCTCTCTGTCTCTGTGTCTCTCTCTCTCTCTCTCTGTGTCTCACCCAGGACTCTCTCTCCAAGACCTCCCAGCTCCATGTAGGCGTTCTGGAACGACTCCGTCTCTGTCTCTCTGTCTCTCTGTGTCTCTCTGTCTCTGTGTCTCTGTCTCTCTGTCTCTCTCTCTGTGTCTCTCTGTGTCTCTGTGTCTCTCTGTGTCTCTCTGTCTCTGTGTCTCTGTGTCTCTGTGTCTCTCTGTGTCTCTCTGTGTCTCTCTGTCTCTGTGTCTCTGTGTCTCTGTGTCTCTGTGTCTCCGCGTCTCACCCAGGACTCTCTCTCCAAGACCTCCCAGCTCCATGTAGGCGTTCTGGAACGACTCCTTCTCTCTGTGTCTCTGTGTCTCTCTGTCTCTCTGTGTCTCTGTCTCTGTGTCTCTCTCTCTATCTGTGTCTCTGTGTCTGTGTCTCACCCAGGACTCTCTCTCCAAGACCTCCCAGCTCCATGTAGGCGTTCTGGAACGACTCCGTCTCTCTCTCTGTGTCTCTCTGTGTCTCTGTCTCTCTCTCTCTGTGTCTCTCTGTCTCTCTCTGTCTCTCTCTCTGTGTCTCTCTGTCTCTCTCTCTGTGTCTCTCTGTGTCTCTATCTGTGTCTCTTTCTCTCTCTCTCTGTGTCTCTGTCTCTCTGTGTATCTCTGTCTCTCTCTCTCTGTGTCTCTCTGTCTCTGTGTCTCTCTGTCTCTGTGTCTCTGTGTCTCACCCAGGACTCTCTCTCCGAGACCTCCCAGCTCCATGTAGGCGTTCTGGAACGACTCCGTCTCTCTCTCTGTGTCTCTCTGTCTCTCTGTCTCTCTCTGTCTCTCTCTGTCTCTCTCTCTGTGTCTCTCTCTCTGTCTCTCTCTCTCTGTGTCTCTCTGTCTCTGTGTCTCTCTGTGTCTGTGTCTCTGCGTCTCACCCAGGACTCTCTCTCCAAGACCTCCCAGCTCCATGTAGGCGTTCTGGAACGACTCCTTCTCTCTCTCTGTCTCTCTGTGTCTCTGTCTCTCTCTCTCTCTGTCTCTCTCTCTGTCTCTCTGTGTCTCTGTGTCTCTCTGTCTCTGTGTCTCCACGTTTCACCCAGGACTCTCTCTCCGAGACCTCCCAGCTCCATGTAGGCGTTCTGGAACGACTCCATCTCTGTCTCTCTGTGTCTCTGTGTCTCTATCTGTGTCTCTGTGTCTCTCTGAGTGTCTGTGTCTCTGTGTCTCACCCAGGACTCTCTCTCCTAGACCTCCCAGCTCCATGTAGGCGTTCTGGAACGACTCCTTCTCTCTCTCTGTGTCTCTCTGTCTCTCTCTCTCTGTGTCTCTCTGTCTCTCTGTCTCTCTCTGTCTGTGTCTCTCTGTCTCTCTCTCTGAGTGTCTCTCTGTGTCTGTGTCTCACCCAGGACTCTCTCGCCGAGACCTCCCAGCTCCATGTAGGCGTTCTGGAACGACTCCGTCTCTCTCTCTCTCTGTCTCTCTGTGTCTCTATCTGTGTCTCTTTCTCTCTCTCTGTCTCTCTCTCTCTGTGTCTCTATCTGTGTCTCTCTCTCTCTGTGTCTCTGTCTCTGTGTCTCACCCAGGACTCTCTCTCCGAGACCTCCCAGCTCCATGTAGGCGTTCTGGAACGACTCCTTCTCTCTCTCTGTGTCTCTCTGTGTCTCTGTGTCTCTCTGTGTCTCTCTGTGTCTCTCTCTGTGTCTCTCTCTCTGCGTCTCACCCAGGACTCTCTCTCCGAGACCTCCCAGCTCCATGTAGGCGTTCTGGAACGACTCCTTCTCTGTCTCTCTGTGTCTCTCTGTGTCTCTATCTGTGTCTCTTTCTCTCTCTCTGTGTCTCTCTCTGTGTCTCTGTTTCTCTGTGTCTCACCCAGGACTCTCTCTCCGAGACCTCCCAGCTCCATGTAGGCGTTCTGGAACGACTCCTTCTCTGTCTCTCTGTGTCTCTCTGTGTCTCTCTCTGTGTCTCTCTCTCTCTGTCTCTCTGTGTCTCTGAGTGTCTCTCTGTGTCTGCGTCTCACCCAGGACTCTCTCTCCGAGACCTCCCAGCTCCATGTAGGCGTTCTGGAACGACTCCTTCTCTGTCTCTCTGTGTCTCTCTGTGTCTCTCTCTGTCTCTCTGTCTCTCTCTGTGTCTCTCTCTCTCTCTGTGTCTCTCTGTGTCTCTCTCTATCTCTCTGTGTGTCTCTGTCTCTGTGTCTGTGTCTCTGTGTCTCACCCAGGACTCTCTCTCCGAGACCTCCCAGCTCCATGTAGGCGTTCTGGAACGACTCCTTCTCTCTCTCTGTCTCTCTCTGTCTCTCTCTCTCTGTGTCTCTATCTGTGTCTCTCTCTCTCTCTGTGTCTCTCTGTGTCTCTCTCTATCTCTCTGTGTGTCTCTGTGTCTGTGTCTCTGTGTCTCACCCAGGACTCTCTCTCCGAGACCTCCCAGCTCCATGTAGGCGTTCTGGAACGACTCCTTCTCTCTCTCTGTCTCTCTCTGTCTCTCTCTCTCTGTGTCTCTATCTGTGTCTCTCTCTCTCTCTGTGTCTCTCTGTGTCTCTCTCTATCTCTCTGTGTGTCTCTGTCTCTGTGTCTGTGTCTCACCCAGGACTCTCTCCAAGACCTCCCAGCTCCATGTAGGCGTTCTGGAACGACTCCTTCTCTCTCTCTGTGTCTCTCTGTCTCTCTGTCTGTGTCTCTGTGTCTCTGTGTCTGTGTCTCTCTCTCTCTCTGTGTGTCTCTCTCTCTGTGTCTCACCCAGGACTCTCTCTCCGAGACCTCCCAGCTCCATGTAGGCGTTCTGGAACGACTCCTTCTCTCTCTCTGTGTCTCTGTGTCTGTGTCTCTGTGTCTCTCTGTCTCTGTGTCTCACCCAGGACTCTCTCTCCAAGACCTCCCAGCTCCATGTAGGCGTTCTGGAACGACTCCTTCTCTCTCTCTGTGTCTCTCTGTCTCTGTGTCTGTGTCTCTCTCTCTCTCTCTGTGTCTCTGTCTCTGTGTCTCACCCAGGACTCTCTCTCCGAGACCTCCCAGCTCCATGTAGGCGTTCTGGAACGACTCCTTCTCTGTCTCTCTGTGTCTCTCTGTGTCTCTGTCTCTCTCTCTCTGTGTCTCTCTCTCTCTGTGTCTCTCTGTCTCTCTGTCTCTCTCTCTACGTCTCTCTGTCTCTCTCTGAGTGTCTCTGTGTCTCTGTCTCACCCAGGACTCTCTCTCCGAGACCTCCCAGCTCCATGTAGGCGTTCTGGAACGACTCCTTCTCTCTCTCTGTGTCTCTCTGTCTCTCTGTCTCTCTCTCTGTGTCTCTCTGTCTCTCTCTGTCTGTGTGTCTCTCTCTCTCTCTGCGTCTCACCCAGGACTCTCTCTCCGAGACCTCCCAGCTCCATGTAGGCGTTCTGGAACGACTCCTTCTCTGTCTCTCTGTGTCTTTCTGTGTCTCTGTCTCTCTCTCTCTGTGTCTCTCTGTGTCTCTGTGTCTCTCTCTCTCTGTGTCTCTGTGTCTCACCCAGGACTCTCTCTCCGAGACCTCCCAGCTCCATGTAGGCG